AGACGCGCATGCGCGGTCTGAGGCGCCCGGCACGGCGCAGGCGCGGAAACTCCTGAGGGCGGGGAGAGCGGGAGGAGGGGCGCGGGCAGAGACCCAGAAATACAAATTTCTATATATCTAAATATGTATATATCGAGAGAGAGAGAGAGAGAATGGAGCGGTTGAGGGGTGAAAGGCCTCTGAGGCTATCCGGACGGTGCGCGGACAGCACCTTGTCAATGAGGCCGAGGCACTGAATGACGCGTCCAGTCTTTCCTTGAACACCTCCGGGGCAGTGACTCTGCAGCCTCCCTGGGCATCCCATTCCAATCCAATCCATCCAATTCCAATCCCTTCTGTGAAGAAGTTCTTCCTAATACCCAATCTAAACCTCCCCTGGCCCAGCCTGAGGCAGTTCCCTCTCCTCCTGTCCCTGTTCCTGGCAGCAGAGCCCGACCCCCCGGCTGTCCCCTCCTGGCAGGGACTTGTGCAGAGCCAGAAGGGTCCCCTGAGCCTCCTTTTCTCCAGGCTGAGCCCCTTTCCCAGCTCCCTCAGCCCCTGCTGGGGCTCCAGCCCCTTCCCAGCTCCGTTCCCTTCTCTGGGCACGCTGCAGCCCCTCAATGTCCTTGAAATGAATGGCACAGACACACTACTTGTAAGTTCATTAGTACACACTTATGTGTCCTAATGTACTAAGGTGGGTTAAAGCACCTAAGTTCTGCCAGTGCTGGTGTCATAGAGCATAAAAGACCATCAAGTTCCAACCCCTCTGCCATGGGCAGGGACACCTCCCACTAAACCAGGCTGCTCAAGGTTGCCTTATCCAACCTGTCGTTGAACACTTCCAGGGTTGGGGCATCCACAACTATGGATGTTAACTGTGAAGCAGGGAGCACAGTGCCTGTGGAATAGCAGACCACATAACTTTCTCAGTCTTGCCTGAGAAAGTGGCCTGGGAAATCATGGGGAGGAATTAAAACAATCCTCAGAGATAGAGAACAGCCTTGCAGGTGCTGTTTGTCAGTTTCTTGTTTTCCTGCAAGAGAAGGTTGAGGGGTGGTGAACCCCACTGACCGACGATGGTAATGTGTTAGTTTACTAACCAATAAGATTTTTTCTTTTCTGTACTTTCACATATCTGTCTATAAAAAAGATCTGAAGCAAAAAACTGGGAGAAAATTCTCCAGTTTGACTCCGCAGGAGAGTCTGTGTGTTTCTTCTTGCCGTTCCCAATAGAGCGACACACAACCTCCCCAGGTGACCTCTTCCAGTGTCTCACCATCCTCACAGTAAAGAATTTCTTCCCTATGTCCAACCTAAATCTCCCCTCTTTCAGTTTGTACCTATCCCTCCTTGTCCTATCTCTACAGTTCCCAAGAAAGCATCCCTTTCTGGCTTCCCTGTAGGTTCCTTCAGATACTGGAACTTTCTCTTCTCTGGGGTGAACAGCCCCAGCTTTCTCAACCTGACTTCACAGGGAAGATGCTCCTGAGGAACTTGGTGGTCTCCCCTCTACTTGCTCCAACAGTTCCATGTCCTTCTTACATTGAGACCCCCCCAGAGCTGGATAAAACACTGCAGGTGAGGGTCTGACAAGAGGAGAAGGGAGGTGGAATTGCCTCTTTTGACCTGCTGCCCATGCTGCTTTGGATGCAGTCCAGGATTCATTTGGCTTTCTGGGCTGTGAGCACATTGAGTGCACGCTGCTGGCTCACAGTGAGTTTAGTAGTTTGTAGTTTAGTGTTTGAGTAGTTGATGCGTACATTTGATGGGCATTAACCTGTGTTTGTCCTGGTGCTCCTTAGGTAATGTAGGAGAGAAGCTGCTACAAATAAATACAAATTTGAGCCAGCTGTGTTGGTAAAAGAGACCATTTCCCCTGCACCTCGTAACCTCTTCCATCCTCAGGTGTGGCATTTCCTTCTAGCCTCTTCCATCTGCAGGTGTGGGATCTCCCAGGGCTGTCTTTCTGCAAAAAGGTGTGCTGATGTCAGGCTGACTTAATTGCAGTTAAACTCCAAATTTCCTAGTATTGTGTAATGGCTGGAGAATTTCTAGCCTGCCATATTGTCAGCTTAATGTCTGTAATAAGAACCATCTTCTAACTCATTTTTTGCATTAGGCTTGGCTTCCTCACCATTTCCTCCCAGCGGCATGGCCAGCAGACGGCATTGCCAGGCAAAAGGAAAGTGGGAGACCCCTTTCCTTGTGCAAGTGAGGAAATGGAGATGTGCTACACGTACACACAGGGCTGGAGGTGCTGCTTCTGCCAGTGTCCTGCTCATGCTCTGACACAGAGCTGCCAGACAGCCAGAGCCTCCTGCAGCTTTCGCAACTAAAAAGAAACCACTGACTGTTGCTAGTAGGAATCCAGCATTCTTGACAGCACAGAATAACTTGCTTGCTCTGTGTGGAGAGCCATTAAAAAAAAAAAAAAAAATATGAGAGAGAGAGAAAAAATATCACTTGCTATTTTTTGCTTGGGTGGTTACAACTTAAAATATGCTGCTTGTTCACTTTCACTATTGCCTGATACCAAACCTGAGTCGATACTTTGAAGATAAAAGGAATTTTTTTTTTTAACTTTTTATTCAGCAGTCCAGATATGTAAGTGCTGAGCTTCACATGCAAACTAAAGTACCTCATGCTGGGGGGTTGTGACAGTTTCGCTACTCTTTTCTGCTCAGATTGTGTTAAACTACTCATTCTGACTTCTGTGTTTGCTGGTTAGTGTGTGAAGCAGGTCTGCCCAGGGCTAAGGGTTCATTTGCACAGTGGCTGTTCAGCTCTGCTTGTAAAAGCCCCAGAATAACTGGGAAACAACTCCAGAGGCTGTGAATGGCTAAGGATGAAGTTTTTTTTCTGAGCATTTATTTGAATTTTGAAATAGAATGAGGAAAAAAAAAGAAGCTGTGATTTGTTTTTTCCCTCTGAGTGGTTCAGGAACTTATGACAGCTCACTGTATGGGGAATATAATAAATAAACAGATTCTTGGTATTTCCTCTAGCTCAGCCCATTCAGCTCCATAAAATCTGGCAGGACTTGGCTCTCCAGTTCTTTTTTGCAGTTGCAGAATTGAGGGTTGGAATTTTCCCCCAGAGTCCTCTCATAATTTAGTTTCATAGTGCTTCTTCGCGACAGCCAGTGCTTGGTGGTTTTTGTTTTATTTATTCTGTGTCTGAGGTATTTTGAGTAATCACCCTGTGTGCAGATTGGAGTATCACAGTTAGCTAACTTCATTTACAACAGTTTATATGCTGACTCAGTGAGCATGCAAACCTCTCCTATGCAAACAAAAAAAAAAACAAAAAAAAAAAAACAAAAAACCTTGGATTGATTTGAGAGAGATGTGAAACGAAGCCAAAGACTTAGAAAGATGTTTTGGTGGCAAATGCATACGATGATTACTTTGCATATGATGATTACTTTTGTATCCTTGCTTGCAAGTAACTTGATCTCCCTGGCTCACTCACTCCAGCTTTGTGCTGCCATGGCTTTGCCTTCCTCAGCTCCTTTTGGTTGTCCATGATTCCCCAGGAACTGGTCTTCACCCATACCTGCTCACAGCTGTGAGCACACCTGTGGGCTCAAGGACCCTGATTGTTACAGAACCTTTTGTAACAATGTTTGTGTGCACATGTCTGCGGGTTGTCATCTCGGGTTATGTGTGTGCCGCCTCTCCAGCCACAAAAGAAGTCCCTGTTGGATGATACTGCAGTTTGTCTGCTTATCTTGGGAAAAGTTTCTGTGGGTTTCATTGGCAACCACTGAGGCAAAGACATGAGTCAGTGCTCTTGGTAAGTCAGTTCAACTTCTGCTCTAACATGCAGTAACTACACATACCCTCTTTGTTACCTGGGTCATCCCACTGTCTTAGATGCCTGGATGCAATTAAGGCTTTATCATTTATCATCATGCAATCAAGACCATTTTTATCATTGCCATAATTTTTACAAGTCCTACCCAGATTCTAGGGCTGATAAAGGATATGAAGGTGACTTTCACCCCAAAGAACTGTTTAGGGACGCAAGGAGTGAAATGGTGCTTGCAAGAAAGCAGCACATTCTATTTCACACCTTTGAGGTGGATGCAGGGTCCTCAAACACAATACAACAGTGACAGAAATGGCCTGAAGGTGTAGAAAACAATTTATTTTGGCTGTGTTGAACTGGGAGGAGGCATGCAGAGGGGAGTACTCCAGGCAGATGCTTGTAAGTCTGGATAACAGAAGTTATAGAAGGAAGAGCAAGATTTTGAGCTTGTGGTGGTGGTTAGGGAGAATTGTTACACAGGTAAATGTATAGAAGAGCTCCAGAAGGGCAGCACAGCCTGGATGGGCTTGGGATCAAACAGCTGGTAATGGAGAGATGAGGGAAGTTAGCACCATCACTGTCAGGCAGTAACATGCCCTTACCCTTCATGAAAGGTAGCATTTCACACTTACTTCACAATAAGTGACCTATCCCTGAAAAGTGCTTCAAAAGCAGGCTTTTTTCTGTTTTATGAAATATAAATGAATTAATGCAAGGTAGCCTAGGCTGTAGTGTTTATTTGCCATTGGAGTGGGATTTTCCATTGAATTGACTGGTTGAATTGGCTGTTCCACGTGTCTCCATGCAGATCTCCCACTGGCTTTCTCTGTACCACAAGTTAGTTGAGAACACCAGTGAACCTTGTGTGAAGGCTGAACTAACTGCAAGCAGATCTCTGGAGCAGGTTGACCTCTGCTAACATTCCAGCTTGCAGTAATTCATTAATTCATGCTTAATCTTATTCCATATGCACTCTAGAGCTTTATCTACCTCCTGTTGGCAGCATTACTTCTTTTTGGTACAGAAATAATTTGAGGGTTTACTTGCACTGTGAAGCTGCTACCATGTTTCCTCAATAATCCTCATTTATTGTGCAGGACTAACACTGAAGCAGCTTCACACTGTTTGTCACGATAGTGAAAAGCACCTGTGCAGGTTAATCAGCTAATTAGACAGTGAAGTATTTGGCAGTGACCGTGGAGGCAGTGGCTGTACACAGCAAGGTGGTTGTAACCACTTCAGCAGCTACCAGCTGCAGGAAGAAGAGGGTCTGCATCTTGCTTTTCTTTGGATTTATCTGTAATCTCTCATGTCTGCATGTCTCATGGTCTGAAAAAATAAAGGTCATCAAAAGGGGCTGGATCCTTCAGACTTGGAGGCATCTCACTCTGAAGCAGTGGTATTGCCTTGGATGAAGGAAATCACTGGGTGCATTTTTAGCAGCACACTCAGAAGCATGGAAATTCCGATTAGAGTTCCCATCAGCCCTTGGACATCATGGATGTTAGCACTGGAGTCTGCAGAGAAGAACCTACATTTCAGTGTTATTGCACAGACTGATGGAAAGCTAGTATGAGATCAAAATGAAATACAGTCTTTATTGATAAAAGGGACTAAAATTTCTTTTATGCAGGATTTACATTTGAGGTCTTTTATTTTGAGAGTGCTTTTCTGTTGTTAATTTTTTTAGCCTGATTGACACTCAGACAGCTGCCAAGAATACTTGGAATTCACTATAAAATAACAGTGTGGTAAGTGCATTAGACTATCATCCTGACAGGCTTATATATTTATTATGCTAATTATGTGGGTGTAGTAATTGTATTAGGAATATCTAGATATTTTCTATCAGTAAAATCAGTACCAAGTATGGGGAAACCCACAAAAGATTTCTCAGCTGACTCCAATCTGAAAATTTTCCTTAAACATATAATAAATGCTCCCATTCAGTTGCAAAGACTTTTCCTTTATTTTATTTCCTTTATACAGAGATTTAGGAGCAGTATCTATAGTAAGTACATGCACTTCCTAATTTGAAATCACTGTTAATTTATTTTATACCATGTATTAAGGAAGTGAGGGACAAGGGGTGGGAAAGGGAATATCAGTCCAGGGTGTGTCTGCAATGGGTGCTGCCTCCAGGAACTATTCCTAGAGCATAGTCCAGCTTCACAACAGCACTGAGCTTGTAGCTGGAATCTAACCCCTTCGTGTATCTGTTTGGATGTTTGCTTTTTGTTTGTTTGTTTATATGCTCCCTTGCCATCATGTCAGTGTCATTTTGCAAATGCAGGAAATGAGGTTTGCCAAGAAAGGCCAAATGGACCTTGAAGTCGAGTACCAGGCTGCATAGTGCTTCTTGTACAAGCATTTCCAAGAAGAGGTCATCTTCCAGGCATGTAGCAGCCATGGCTAGTGACTCTGGAAGCTTATCCCAGCAGTGTCATTACCCTGAACATACTATTGATGAGCACTGGAATCAAACTCTTTAAATCTGTGTTGTGCAGAAACGACTTGTCACCTAGGAGAGGGAGGTATTGAATTCTGTATGCTTCAAGGGAGTTTATCTGGAAATGAAAAAATATTTTTACCCCTGAAAAGTTTCCTTATTTAATCACTGGTTTCTTTGGAGTGCCAGACAGCTGAAAGGGAAGGGAATAAAGCTGATTGGGAGTTGACAAATGCCTCTGAAGACAGTTATCTGGTGTCTGTGTCTGTTAGCAGGAAGGGCTGCTGTAGCTCTAGGGGGTTTTACAGTGTTTCAGAGTGCAGACTCTTTGCCAGCTATTCTAATATTTAGGCTCTGTTTGAGCTTCTTTGTCCCTGCCTGTCCTGTAATAACAAGGACAAATGGGAGATGGAAACTGTACACTGTCCTCCTGTGGTTCTGCAGAGCTGCTGTGGAAAGGCCAGACATCTGAATATTCCAAAGCCAGGCCAATAATTGCATGAGGCATTAGAATGGCAAATACTGCAGCCAGCCAGGGCAGCCCATTGCTATTGACAGTTGTCACAGGGTGAGTCTTCCCAGCTTCAGGAGGGGACTGAGCAGTTGCAGAATGGATTGCTGAGTGCTCTATTAAAAGCTTCTAGGAAAATGACATCAGGAGTCGTCAGCAATTAATCTGGAACATCGATTCCAAGAATAATGTTTATCTGAAAAATAGTGAATCAAATCCTGCAGTTCTAGCTGGGCCTACTATGAGTAAATTAGATCAGTTTATTTTTGTATGAGTCATTAATCATATTGCAGTCATCACTGTGGTTATCTGAAAGTATTTTAATTTAATCAAAATGCAGTTGAAACTCATATAAACAAATTTGGCCTAAGATGGGCAGCCACACACACAGAGCAGTCTTTTCCAGTGTGGGATAAGGAATTAAACACCAAAACAGATCTTTCTGCGGAGATCTGACTATGGATTTTTGCATTACTAGATTTTCAGCATGCACTTTCCAACACTTTGCTTTCTGTACTGACTTCCAGATAAAAGAGAACAGTGCGCTGTGCTCTCAAGCTTTTGTCACGGTGTTCAAGCTTGTACAGGCCATCTGCTGTGGAGTAATGTAGCTGCTACAGTACATTGCTTTCCTAACATATGTGTAACCTGACAGCTGGGGAGTGTG